CAAGATGCCTCCTCCAAACCCCAAAACCAAGCTGGCTGAGGCCAAGCCTGGATCCTGGCGGCCCCTTGTGTGTCAGTGGCCGTTCAGATGTAGATTGCTTGGCCCTTCTTTCAAGGCACCACTGAGTAGATTTAGACCATCAACCTTTTGGTTCATAGCTGGGTGCTTAACCATTTGCCCCATCTCTCTCTCTTTTTTTATTTTTGTGTGCGTGTACCATCAAATCAGATCTGACTGGTACAGAAGGAGATTGTCCCTCCTTCCCCGGTAGAGCATCTGGTGGATTTGAACCGTGCGCCTCTGGGATTATATAGTTGCAGTTCCTTGCCACTAGGGCACCAGAGCTCCACCCCCCCCCCCCCCATCTCTCTTTCATCACGCTGCATCCCTCTCCCTGGGCCTCAGGACCGTCGGGTTGTCATGTTTCTGTCTGTTCGGATTACTGTCCTTCTGCCTGCCCTCCCCCCACCCCAGGGTCCACAAGTGCATGTGCTTGCTTTACAACTGTGTCCAATGAGCTAGAACAAGCTGACATATGGTTGGTGCTTTAGACCATCATCCTCCCACCCAACTGCTGGCCCAGATGAGTGACCCGTGACCCTGCCCCCCACTCTGCACAGAAGGCTTCACCTCCTCCCACACCCCCAGGCCAACTCCCGCAGGTCTGTGCCCAGAGCTCCCCAACACACCACGGCAGCCACAGCATTGCTTCTGATTGTTGTTTAATGGTCTCAGGTTTCTGGGTGCTGGGGCCTGATGATGAAGGGAGAAGGTGCTGGGCTGCTTCTACAGGATCTGGTCACTGGGCAGGGCCAGCCGCAGCAGTGAAGTTGGCTATGTTTAGTGCAGGGCGCCCAAATTTGTCTGAGGGGCGGCAGCACACGGGGCCCAGCTTGTCCTCATTTTTCCCTCTCGGCAGAGGTGAGCGGCAAAGGTCACAGATGCCACTGAACAGCCAACCCCGTCGTCCTCCCGTGGCCTTGGAGGCCCGCTGACCAGGGCTTGCGAGGGCCAGCTCGAGATGGACAGCAGTGAGACACCGAAGCGACCGCGGGGACAGCCAGCTTCCCTTTTCTGCTTTACTTTTTAAGCCACATTGTGTTCCTGCTGAGGCCCTGGGTGAGTGCCCCTCCCACCTGGAAGGTGCCCAATGTCATGTCCATGTTGAGCAAAGGATGTGGAGCGGGGGGATTGAGCTGGACGCCCCAGAACCACAGACTGTGCAGGTGGGAAGTTTAACCACCATTTAGTCTGAAAGGAAAGGCGGGCCTAGCGAGACCCATGGCCCTGAATCCGAGGATTCAGACACTGGAAGGGGGCAGGCTGGAGCCTGGCATCCCAAGACAAGCCTTGTTACTGTGCTCAGGACAAGCGGCAGAGTGACCCTATCAGCTGGTTTGAGGTCTGTGGCTGGAGCCTGTCAGCAGCAGTGCTTAATGCTCTGTGCTTGGTGGTTTTTCAGACACTGCAGTTCCCTCCCCCGCAGACCGAAAGCTGATGGCGACCCTGCGTGGAGCATCTTCCTACTCCCTCCCCTCCCCACCCCGTCTGCGTCCAACGCTGCTCTTCCTTGCTGAGTGTCAAACTCTTTCTGTCATACTTCTGTATTCCTAACAGACCCGTCTCACGTCAGTGTAATTTTCCCACGCACTGAGAAAGCTAAACCTACACCTGACTAGACTCGGTGCAATCTTTGATTCAGTGCTGTGGTCTAAAGCTGAACTCCCCTTCTCTCCGAGGTCTGCCTGCACTGGGACAGAACTAAACAAACTGTGTAACTTTGGTCTCTCGCTCTTACAACGAGGGACGTGATTTATTTTATAGTGTTTAAACCCAAAGTCATGTGGTTCAAATCCACCGGCTGCTCCATGGAAGACAAACGGGCAGTCTCCTTCTATATGATGTACGGCTTCTGGAAACCCACTGGTGTGTCAGCTATGACTTGGTTCCAACTCCATGGCAATGACTTTTGACTTTTAAAAAATCCTTTTATTAAAACAACAATCCTTTTATGAGGAGGTGGTAAGTCGTAGGTTCCTTTGAGAATCTGATGAACCACCGGATGCTTTCCACTTTCAAATGCACGTAATTCCCAGTGCTCACAGAGCCCTCTTGGAAATGCTTACCAAAGAATCCTGGGCTGACTGATGGCCCTTCCAGTGCTCCCATCCTAAAGATGTGGAAGCGAAGTCATCCAAAGACAGTCACTGGACCACAGTGCCTCCAGGGTTAGGCTCCGCTAGGGTCCCTTCCAGTCTATGGACGAGTTCTACTCCTCCCTTCACCAGCTTACACCTACAGCTCTCAGCCGAGACGTAGACAAGCTGACCCTAAGCTCCGTCCGTGATTGCCATGAATTAAATTGCTTCTCTCTCCAAAACAGGTTTTGTAAATCCGGACCTCTTTGCCTGTGGCTATAACCCCATTTGGGAAATGGCTGTTTTGTGGTGTTAATCAAACAGGATTAGAGTGGGACATGTCTTAAAGGAATCTGTTTTGAGATATGAGATTAATGAAGCAGCTGAAAGAAGCAGAGACGAAGTGGGACAGACACTGAGCCACCAGGAGATCCAGGAGCGGCAATTCAGGACACAAGGACCTTCTCCCAGCGGGAACAAGCCCTCCCCAAGAGTCCACACCCACAAAGGGACTTCTAGCTTCCTAAACGTTGAGAAAATAAACGTCTGTGGGTTAAAGCTACCCTCTTGTGATATTTCTGTTGTAGCAACACTGCAGTTAGTTACCACTGGGTTTGGAACTGGCCCACAGCTGACCCTCCAGAGGGTTTTCAGATGCAGTAAATCGCCTGGGAGGAGACGGCCCATCGTTCTCCCCAAAGTAGCTGGTAGATTCGAACCGCATACCATTGGGTTGGCAGTGCAGCTCCTTACCACCGGGCCACCAGAGTTCCTAGATAGTCACTACAATGATATAAGATGGTAATGGCTCGAGGCCAAGGGACACTCTTTGTCGTTAGCTGGAACTATCCTACCTTTGGCCAGAGCCCTGGGAATTAGCTTTAGAGAAAAGGAGCCCTTTGAGGGATTACAGCATCTCCTTCAGCCAATGGGAATGAAGAAACTACCTACCAACTAGCTGGCCACCCTTCTCCGCCCCGCCAGCATGATGGAAGGTTGCTTGGTCAGAGCAGACGCAAATAATTTGGGCCAATCTCCTGGGATGTGACCAGGGAGAAAAAATAGAGCGCTTAATTAAGCCCCCCATGCAAGCAGTCAATTCTAATTTTCCACTCCTAATTTAGCAGAGAACTTCAACTAAGCATGTATTAAGATGCTATAGAATCTCGTGATGGGCTCCCCTAATTTTGATTGGGAGTGTTCCTTCTAGCCCTGGCCCATTCCCTCCCAGATGCCTGGTCTGTGAAATGTGAGGGCAAAGGACACCGAGTGTTTCACCGCCTGGCAGAAGAAGAAACACATCTGCCCTTAAGAAGTGCAGCCAGGCTGCTCCTTAGAAGCAAAGATGACGGGGCTTTGTCTCTCACAGTTTGGGCCAGTTACCAGGAAGAACCTAGAGAAATTCCTAGAGAGGGACATCAAGCTTGGTAGAGGGTCCGTGAAAAGAGAGAGGCCCTCTGTGAGATGCAGCAACACTGTGGCTGTCATGGTGGGCTCAAGCCTCGGGCGGTCCTCAGGGCGGGCCTCAAATACTCAGCCAATCTCCATCCAAGCCAGCCTCCCCCATCACCTGAACTCCAGCACCGTCATCCATAGGTCTGTGCACATCATTCCTTTAAAAAGCTCTCACAGCTCCTTTCCGTCCACCAAAAGGGCCACATTCTCTAGCCGAGTCCTCAAGACCCATCATGTTCTTACTGCAAACCACTTGACTTCGTCTCCCCAAGTATTCCTCCATTCCCTCTCCAAAACCTTTCACTCCTTTCTTTTAGTCTCAGGATGCACTGCTTTTAGCTCTGATGATGAGATTCTACATCTGCCTCCTTTCCTGGATACAAAGGAAGAATCTGTTAGTCAAAGAACTCATGTTAAAAAAGAAATTGGGAGCATGATCTGGGAGCATCATGGAGCCTGGTCCAGGGAGGAGGCAAGGCGCTAATACTGATGCTCCTTGGTTTCAGCACCAAAGCTGTGCTATATGCTGCATCAAGAAGGGGTTAGCTAAGGGCGTAAAGCCAAGGTCCCAGCAGTGCTGGAGAATCCACAGCAGAGAAGCTCTCCACGGGGAGAAAGCGGAGGCCTGTCGAGGCCAGGCACTGGATATCCCGAGCGTGCCCACCGGAAGTCCAGTCGGGGAAGGACCTCTGCTCTGGAAACAGGCACTCCTGTGTGGTCTCCCAGTGTCAGGGGGCGAGCAGGCTTGCAGCGCCTGTGATCTATGCAGGACTTACTGCCTCTTCTTGGCCAAAAGCTTCTGGAGCCAGGGAAGGCAGCTGCAGGAGGGAACTGCCTTTGGTGGTGGTAAGCAAAAAGAGAACAGTAGACCCCTATTGGGATTCTGAAAAAGGCTGAGATTTTTGTGAATTTTGGGTAGAGAGCTGGAATCAGAGGGGTTGCTGTGACAGGATCTTCTGATTTGGGGTGATGACGTACCCAGGAAGGAGAGCTGAAGAAGGAGAATGAATTCTGTAGGCTTGACAGACGGTCAAATGTCAGTGATGGCCAGTTCTCGGTCAAATGTCAGTGATGGCCAGTTCTAGGAGTACCCAGGGCTCAATCAGGGATGTTAAAGACTCCGCTGGGAAGGAAATGAGAAGGAAAGGCAGTCATCACACCTGGAGCGATGTGCCAATGGCCAGGGAGGAAGAGCAAAGGCAAGCGGCTTGGGTGAACCACTGGGCGACTGAGAGCCACACAGCCTGCAAATCCTTGGCTTCCGGCCTCTCTGGCTTTGGAAGCACTCCCCATGCTTGAATAACAACCAAAGCATCTATGGCTTGATATTGCGGAGCTGGTTTCAGCCAAGAGCAATGGGGTGGAGCTACAGGGCCAAGCTCCCCTGTGCCGGTGAAGGGGGGTGAGTTAAATGTACTTGATGGGCAAGGACGGGCCCTCCAGCACGAGGTCATCGACGTCACTCAGGAGCTCGTGTTCGCTGGTGGTGGCGGTGGTCTGCAGGCGGCGGAGGCGGGCTTGCAGCTGTTCCTGTTCCTTCTTGAGCTCCAGGTAGGAGTGGGAGAAGGTGTGGAAGATGGACGTGGCCGGGAAAGCCATGATGAGGATTCCGCTGAGGATGCTGCTGAGGGCCACCACCTGGCCCGGCACGCTGCAGGGGACCATGTCGCCGTAGCCCACCGTGGTCATGGAGATGATGGCCCACCAGTAGGACGCCGGGATGCTGGTGAACTCCAGGACGCGCCCGGACTCGTTCTCGGCCACGTAGACCAGCGGGGAGAAGAGCGTGACGGCCACGCACAGGAAGAGGAGGAGCAGGCCGAACTCGCGCGTGCAGCGGCGCACGGTGAGGCCCAGCGTCTGCAGCCCCAGCGAATGGCGCGCCAGGCGCATCACGTACAGGATGCGCAGAGCACGCAAGATGCGCAGCACCAGCCCCACCTTCTCCAGGTAGGAGCTCCCGCTGGGCCGCTCACCGTCCTCCCTGGGCTCGTCGGACACCACGAGCGACACGTAGTACGGCGAGATGGCCAGGATGTCGATGATGTTCAGGGGCCCCTGGAAGAACTGGCACTTGTTCCGGGCCTGCACGAAGCGCAGACAGAACTCCAGGGAAAACCAGGCCACGCAGATGGTCTCCACGATGAAGATGTAGTAGCATTTCTGAGAGCACTCGCCCTGGGGAGGAGGAGGCGAGAGGCAGAGTAGACCGTGCACCCGCGAGAGCCCCGGGAAAAGCCCCCCAGGTCAGCCCATGCCGTGTACTGAGCGCTGTGGCTTCTAAACCCATAGCTGCTCCCCAATCCCTTCCTCCTTTTTTGGAAGAAAACAGAAGTAACATTATAATTTAATGGTTGTTTCTATTTTGAACATTTTACTATAGTTTGAATGAATGCTTTTGAATCACTTAAGTTTCTCATTCAACAGCTCATTAAAAGTCTTCTGACACTGGCTGCAAGCGCCTCCATGTGACAGCACTCATCCCACTTCCTCCCTGTGGTTCTCATTTCCATTCATCCTTCTGGGCCTCTTTGTGACTTTTTACTCTCTTCTGACTTTTGATTTTGGGCAAATACTATCTTTTTGGTCTTGAATGTTTGAGTTCTGAGGAGCATGTTCCTCACAGGTTCGTTTTTAGTGTGAAGGGTGTCAAGAGCCACAAACTTGGTTGTCCCACCTATTAGGACAGCCAGTCTGCCAAGGCCTCCTTGTTACAGCCTCTGGCCTTCTCCTTAGCTAACACACAGACACCTCCAGTGCATCACACACTCCTTCGTGATCACTGTGACGTCATCTCATGGTTCAGAGCCACAGCTTAACTCGCCCAAGTCCATATACACAGTCAGTGATAGAGCCCAGAATGAGCCCCAGTAGTGCAATAGATAGCGTGCTTGGCTGCAAACCTAAAAGTAGCAGGTTTGAAGCCATCAGCTGCTCCTTGGGGAAAGGATGAGACAGTCTGCTCCCATAAAGATGGCAGCTTGGAAACCCCAGGGGGCAGTTCTGCTCTGTCATAAGGGTTGTTGTGAGTCACTCTTTTGTGTACACCTGTCCCGTCTGAGGACCTCCTTGTTACAGCAGCTAACCCCCCCATGGCTATGCTTAACAGCAGAAGGAATCTGTTTAAACAAGAGGAGCTCTGGCTGTGCAGTGGTTGCACACTCAGCTGTTTAATTCAGGAGAAAGATGCGGCCGTCTGCTCCTGAAAAGGTTTACAGCCTCCGAGAACCCTAGGAGGCAGTCCTGCCCTGTCCTCCAGGGTCACTCTACCACCTCCACCGCCAGGATGGGGGAGAGCCCAGACTCACACAGCTGCTGTCTTCTTTGTCTGCCCACCTCTTCATTCAGCCATCCATTCACCTATCAAGCTAATTGTATTGAGGGCCCACTCGGTGCCACCCTCTGTGCTCCGCTCTGAGGGCACAGTCAGAACAGCAGGTGTAGTTAGTTCCAAGGTGCACGGAGGCTTGGGGGGGAGAGGCCTGTTTTCCTCATGGATTCTGGCTGGGTGGGAGCTGGTCTGTGTTCACCTCTGTGGTGTTCACCTCTGTGTTTTCACAGCGCTGACCCTGCCTCCTGAAACAGCTGTTCCAACAACCCCTATGCTGGCCCAACAGCATCTGCATGTCCCAGAGAAACAGCTGAACCTGCTGCCATGGAGTCGGTTCCAACGCGTTGCAACCCTAGAGACAGAGCAGAATGGGCCCTTCCGAGACTGTCATTTTTAACAGGAGCAGACTGCCTCCTCTTTCTTCCTCGAAGCAGCCTGTGAGTTCGAACCACCAACATCTCCGCTAGCACTGAGCCCCTGTGCCACCAGGGCACCTTTTGTTTACAGTCACGTGTTAGCATTCCGTCTGTGTCAACTCTCAGCGACACTGCAGGACAGAGAACTGCCTCCAGGGTTTACTCACTCCAGATGCAGACTACTCATTTTTAACCTGTGCAGCCGCTGGCAGGTTTGAACCTCTGATCTTTCAGTCAGCAGTCAAGCTCTTAGGCACTGCACCACCGTGGCTCTTTGATCTCCAGTTTGCTTGTTAGAAACACAGAGTCTCAGACCAGCCCTGGTCTACCCCCAGGATCTCCATTCCCAACGAGACAGCGGGCATTTTCTCGGGAAGTCAGTATTTGGTTGAGATAGCACTGCAGTCTCACAGGCCCAGAGTTTGAACTCACCAGCTGTTCTGGGAGAGGACAGGCAGTCTCCTTCCATGCTGTTTGCTGCCTCTAAAATCCCACAGGAGGATCAGCTGTGGGTGGGCTCTGACTTGACAGCACACAACAGCTGGGCTGAAGAACTCATGGGTAATGGGTTGGACTGTTAGTCAAAGGTTGATGGTTTGGGTCCACCAGCCTTTTTGAGAAAAAGATGAAGCTGTGATGATTTACAGCCTTGGAGACATTGGAGGATCAGATAGGTCAGAACCAGCACAGGTCAGAATCAGAAGTGGGTTTTCGGATCCATTTGGGGCAGGAAGCAGCGGCTCTCAGCTTGGCTGCCTGTGCGAATCACCTGGGAATCTCTAAGAAATCTGATGTCAAGGTTGTGACCCCAGAGATTCTAATTGATTTATGTCAGGGCTGGAGCATCTGATTTTTTGAAAGGTCCACAGAAGAGTCTAATGCGGCACCAGGGTTGAGAAGCTGGCTATAAATATTACATATGAATTTGACGGACGAATGAGTGAATAGATGGGGCCAGACGCTTCCTGAGTGAAAAGCAAGACGTTGACAGCGACAGTTTTCTTTGGATTAAAACGCTCTGGAGTGGAAAAAGAAATTACTTCCAGTGCCTGGTCTACATGAACACTAAATTGAGATTTTCTTTATGTTGGGCTGTGGAAAAAAGAGAAAGCAGGCATGCTCATGTCAATCTTGAGTCTCTCGTCCAGGTCGGGCAGCTCTCCCTCTTTCTGTCCATCTGGTCATCCAGAGTGATGAGAGGCAGGGGGTGTGATGCTGGAGGCAACAGAGAGCGCCAACCCTAAGGCCTGGTCCAAATTCCAGCTCTCACTGACTTGACCAGGTCATGTGGCTCTTCCGGAATGCTGATCAACAGAAAGGTCGGTGGTTTGAATCCACCAACCGATCTGCAGGAGAAAGGTGCTGTAGTCCACTTCTATAAAGATGCTGTTAGGTGTCCTTACAAGAGTGTGACTCCTAGTGACCCTACAAGCAACAGACCTGAATCCTGTCCCGTCCTTTCCTGTCCTCATCATCTGACAGAGTTGGGCCCACTGCTACAATCCCTTGTCAGTTCATTTGGTTGGGGGCTTCCTCTCTTTTGCGATCCTTCCACCTTTCCAAGCATGAGGCCCTTCTCCAAGGGATAGCCTCTCCTAGCAATATGCTCCAAGGAGCACTCTGGGTGCACTTTCTCTAAGACACATCTGTTTGTTCTTCTGGAAGTTCATGAGATATTCAGTACTCTTCTTCAACACCACAGCTCGAAGGTGTCAATCTTCTTCTGTCATCCTTATTCAGTGTCCAGCTTTCAGATAAACAGCAAGTGATTGAAAAGACCATGGCCTGGATCAGGTGCACCTTAGTCTTCAAACTGATATACTTGCTCCTCAGTAATCTGAGGAGATCCCTGACTGACTACTCTCCGTACAGGAAGCGGGACCCCTACAGAGTGTCTTTGAGTCTGAATTTTTGTTTGGTTTTGTTTTGGGAGGTTTCAAGGGTTTTAGACCCGGATCCCTCTTCCGCAGTCCTGCAGCTTACAGCTAACCATCACTAATGCGCGCTCTTGGTTTCAGTTCCAATGAAGCAGAAGGTGGACCACAATCACCTTTCTCACATTTCTAACCCAAACTCCGTGTCAGATTGTCACTACAAATGCAGATTCTTGATCTTCAAAATCAAACCTCTGGGTTGGGTCCCAGGCACCTGCATTTGGGAAGATTTCCGGTTCATTATAAGGCACCTGGAAGTTTTCCAACACTGGTCTTGATTTCCCCCTTCTCTGACATTCTAGGTGTTTGTCCTTGGCTTAAGGGTCTCTTTCTGGCCAAGATCACTTTTCCCAAACATGGGCAGGAGACTCCTGGACGGCCAGACTCTGTCAGGTTCCCCATCTGCCTCTGAGCACGCATTTGGGTATTCAAAGCATGCACCGTGCAAGTCCTCCCTCCACACCCAGGGCCCCCGCAGCACCTCCCTGCACTGCAGGAAGCATCTGCCGAGTCACTCCAGCCGCACTGCTCTCTGCATCTAAACCAGCTTCCTCACTGGGCGCCCAGCAAGGCTGAGTGGCCGGCACACCCCTGTGCAGTGAGGGCTTGGGGCGCTCCAGGAGAGGAAGGAAGCTCCCCCACCCCACCTAAGCCCCAAAGACTGTGTTCTTCTCTCAAGCAGGTGTTCTGGCTGTTATTTTATATGTAAGGTAAACAGTCCGAGCTGGACTTGAACATCAGAAGAGGAACTTCCTGGAAAGATTCTCAGAAGCTTTCACAGAAAAGAAGAATGAAAGACATGTGGAACCCCAAGATTATGACCCTAAGTCACTCTTTGAGCCTGGAGGTAAACTCACGCCATGGCTCAACTTTCAGCCAAATAGTGGACTGGTCTATAGGTGGACGTCAACACCAGGGAGATTCTCACTCCTTCGGACAGTCAGAGTTCTTAGAACAACAAAATGCAAGATAAAAGAGTATCACACCCCCCCCCCCAGGGAGAAAGCTCATAAGACAGGAAGGGACAGGGTAGATAGAAGGATGAATGGAAACAGGAATCACAGGGAGGAAGGGGGATGAGTGCTGTCATATTGTGGGATTGTCATCAAGGCCATAAAACAGTATCTGTGGGAATGACTGAATAGAAAACCAACTTCCTCTGTAAACTTTCATTCAGAACAAAGTAAAACTTTAAAAAGAAGAGTGGCAGATTTGGGACAATGATTAGAGCATTCTTTACATAATTCCACTTACTTTGTAATACTCCCTACATGATGAAAACTCAAAATGGTGAAAATCAGGGTCAGAAATCAAAGCCACAGTGCGATCGTGCTTTATCTCCAGTAGGATGGCTGTAACTACAAGGACAGACAATAACAAATGTCTGTGGGGATGTGGACAAACTGGACCTCCCATACACTCCTGGCAGGTATGTAAAAGTGCAGCAGCTTTGGACACAGTCTGGTCAGTGCTCACACAGTTAATCGGAGAGTCACT